TGGTCCATCCCAGTCAACACCATAGTCATCCTCAACCTTGCAAAATACCATGCTTTTAAATTATACATCTACCAAAACATCAGTAAATGTTACAAGCATTTGTAGCAAAGGCATATATTTTTTGTTCTGATGTAGGCATAAGTGAGTGTTGTTAAATTACATTAATGTAAGTGTTAAACATTAGGATATTTCAAAGACTGTTGGTAACCAAACAGTTCTGGGGCACCACCGGCTTCCATAACATTTCTTTCCATACAAGTCAGTGGTGTCCCAGAGCTTTTTGATTACCAACATTCTTCAACATATCTTCCTTTGTCCAGTAGAACTTGAGAGTGAGTAAATGATGACAGAATTTGAGCGAACTAGCCCTTTAAGTGATTTTGAGTTTAAAATGTGCAAACATACAGTTTCCAGATCATCGGCAGCCTCTCTGTTTTGCAGCCAAAGTTGATACGGAGAGCGACCATTCTCCGTTCTCAGCCTGTGCAGGTTCCATGCTTCTTTAAAAGTGTTAAGCTGATGTTGTAACTAGGGAAAAAATGCCCAATGCAGAGCAAAGAGGTGGATCTCATCATCGGGATTCAACAGTCCAGTCACTTCCAAATGGAAAAACAACATGTGGAACAAATCGAGGACTTGTGTGTAAACCTCTTGCCAAAGACGTTCAATCCTAAAAGAAAACCAATACAACAGAACAAGAATCAACATCAACCGTTAATTCTTTTGTTTGTTTTTTTTGACAGGTGAAGTTTAAATAGTCTTGACAAGCGGTGCCCAATCCTGTTCCTGGAAATCTCCAGTTATCCAGGAACAGGGCTGGGCACCCCTGGTATCGACCCATTAGAAGCGGGTTTCACGCTGTACAATTTTTAATAGTCCTCTACGACTGTCCTGTACACATATGATCTCTTCTGTGAGCCATGTCACACTGTGTCTGTAATGCATCTCGACTGTAGTGCAGTCTGACATTAAAAACAGACACACACAGTTGATCGGGATGCAAACAGGTAAGAAGTGAAAAAGGTGAGAATGAGGGGTGGGTGATATGATGTATGAACATTTATTACACTACACTTTGTATTATATTACCCTTGCATCAAATTACAAAAAAAAAAAAAAACTAGTTACCGCTAATGCGAGGGTGTTTCTAATGTGTTTGATTGGGGTTGGAGCTGAAACTTTCAGGGCGGTAGCCCTCCAGAAGCAGGGCTGGTGATCCCTGGCATAGTGGCTATGCAGGTCTGCCATAGGTCCAACATATACGTATAATCAAGCCTGCAAGTATGTAACAAAAACAAACGTACACTGAATCAAATGCCCACTTGCTTGGAGAAAAGCTCTCATCATACGGTATCCACACCGTGGGCGTTCCCTTTGAATTTCCAACACCAAACGATCCAGGTCTGTATCGTCAATGCCAGAGTACAACTCTGATACTCTGTGGAACAGGTGGATAATTGTGTGATAAGTGGCATTAGATGCATCAGATATTTGTGAGATGAACAGAATTATGTAAAGACCTAAACATGCCTTTGTGAAGTTTCTTATTTATTCAAGTCATATCTGAATGTCCTAGTTCAATTTCTATCAGATTATTCAAGTCAGCTGTATGCGTTTCTCTGATGCTTCAAAAGAAGAGGGCATTCATAATGTTAAGAGAGTCGGGACTTGTAATCAGAAGGTCACCCATGATGACGGAGTTTGGAGGTAAACAGAAATTATGGCCTTCAGGCGTTTAGCGTTATATGAAACCAGAAAAAAATATATTTAAGTTGATGATATATTTAAGTTTAGTCCACACTGTTGCATTCGTCGATGTACCGTCCATCGACTAACTCCATACAAGGCCGCAATGTCTTTAACTTTAAGACCATACATAAGATACCCCTCTATGGCCTCGTCAGGGATCTCCACGGCCAGTCGTCCCACTCCGCTTGGCAGAGACGAAGATAATCGATCTTCCACCACCTTCAAGGGTTCAGCAGCGAAACGAGTGTCGAGGCCTGTTAAGACCAACAATTCTGCAAGACGCTCCAATATTGATCTAGTTCTGTCACCTACATACGCGTAAAAATCTTCTGAAATACCACTATTTCTCTGTTCACGCTCCACTTCATCTGCCAGTGAATTCAGCGATCTTATCAGACCTCCAGCCGCCATGTTTCAAACGATCCAGACGTACCACGCTTCCGCCAATCCCTGCCTTGAAGCAATGATTGACGGAGGGTGGGCGTGGTCAGCTCGGAAAATTGAATTTTGCTACAAATATCCCACGGTGTCATGATGAAAATGCAATGTTAGAAAAGTGTTCTAACTGTTAGTCTAAATGCATTTAGGACAAATAGCATTTAAATGTTCATTATGCTACCATTTCTGCTTGGACATGTTACACATATCAAATCAATTTGTGTTCTGGTCAGCTCAGGGGGTGGGGGTGTGGTCAGCTCAAGGGGGGGGGGGCGTGGTCAGCTCGGAATGCATTTTCAAATTGAGTTTTGCTACACATATCCCACGGCGTCATGATGAAAATGCAATCGTAAGTGTCCTAACTGTTAGTCTAATTGCATTTAGGACAAATAGCATTTAAATGATCATTATGCTACCATTTCTGCTTGGACATGTTACACACCAATTTGTGTTATACATTTTCATTTTCATTTTGCAACATATAAAGCATTAAAACAGAATGCACTTTACATATTAAGACTACTGTTGGAAATGGCAAATGTAAATAATATAATTTCATTTTCATTTTCCTTCTGCACCAAACTTTGCACATGTGGGTAATGGAAAATGTCAATTTAAATACAGAAATACATTGCCATTTTGAATATTGCATTGCAAATTGAATTTTGCTACACATATGCTTCCATAGCATGAGAGCCTGTTCTAGTACACCCCCAAAACAAAATCAAGACTTTGTAAAAGAGCATAATAGGACCCCTTTAAAGTTACAGAGAGAATTGGGGGGGAAAAAACCTTAAACTAAAGTACATTTTCGTAATGAAATAAAGACCTCATGTTGTAGTTTTTAGGAGTTGGGTTATAAGTTTCAAATGTTATAATAATATTTTACAGCTCTTTAAAATGAATGATTAAATCACATCAGTTTGCACATTGAATATGGCATCGCTAAAATACAGAAATAAAAACTAAAGTTATACTGAAGAACTGAAATGTGAAAACTGCAAGGTTAAAAACTAAATAAACACTAATATGAAAAAGCTTAAACTTATTTTATTTCTGCTACATTTCTCATTTTCATTTAGTTGAAGTACAAAGTAACTAAAACGGAAGAAAAAATTATAAATAAAATTGAATGAAAACTACATAATTATTTAAAGAAAACAAAAACTTATTTCAGTGTTACAAACCCCAGCGCTGAGAGGACTGAGATCAGTCCGTGTACTGGTGCGTATGTGCCGTTATTCACCGCCCAACCAGCATGGTTTAACCCGTTCTGTGCTGTTAGGAGGTTATGCTAGTGCGTCCATGATTTTGAATGTGTTTTTAATAGAAAACATTTTGAGTGTGTTTGGAGGGCATGATAGCTCACACGCGTGGGCTGTGTTCATGGGCATCCTCCGCGTTCACAGGGGTTAATCACGCGTGTCACCGCTGCAGTGTGTGTGTGTGTGTGTGTGTGTAAGATTATGCAGAGCTCTCAGTCACTGACCTCATCAGCTGACCAATCAGATTCAGGCAGTCAACTCTGTTGACCAATCAGTGCACTGGTTCCGGCTGCCATTCTGGATCAGGTGCTGCTGAGTGAGCGTCGCTGCAGAAGCTCCTGGACATCAGGAAATAATGACGTGGGTCAGGGTCTTCAGAGGACCTGTTTGATCACAGTCATGGATCAGACCCACTGACGCTTCTTGTTGGTTCGTGTTGTCTTCACGTGGTTTAGTGAAGCGTCGGCTGAGCAGTGCTCGGTCACTCACTGTAGCTCCTGCAGGCCTGTGAAGCTGGTGAAGGAGCGCCGTGTTTAAACAGTGAATGTTTCCAGCGTTTCATATTGGTGAGGTGTCGTCACATCAGTGCAGATCAGAGAGTGTGATATCGGCGGAGAAACGCGTCTGGCCCTTTAAGAGCGCTGCCATGCAGAAGTTTCCCTGTTCTGCGTTCACACTGAGAACTCTGAGTATGTAATATTGCTGGAGTTCTTCAGTCAGGGAAACTGTGAGTTTGCTCTCTGTGTGTGTTAAAGCGGCTTACGGCGGCTCAGGAGCATGTTATCCGCATGTTTGCAGCGCTCCTGTTCAGCTCAACTGAAACTCTGTTCATGTTTTCTCTCCTGAGCAGAGTTTCAGTGCTTTCTCTCACACACACCGGGCTGATCGTCCTGAAGCAGTTCTCAGCTGATCAGATGTTTTCACTGATCCGAACTCGAGCGCTGTAGAGGCGGATCATTTGAGTGAATATGCCCTGAAGAAGAAGAATCTTTAAGTGGAGCCAGAATTAAAAACAGATTTGTGGAATAGCTTGTGATTCTCTCTCTAGATGTGACTAAGTAACACTAAATGATGTTCTGTTTCTCTAATGCACTGGAATTAAACCATACAGGCCCTTAAAAGTGAAGATGCCAAAAGAAACGTTCAAGAACCCAAATCAAAAAGCATATTAAGATATCTTTAGGATTTCTGTAATTAGAGTCACACGAACATCAGGAAAAAGCAGAAGAAGTGTCACCACTGGCACATATACAGCAAGAGAGATTGCAGAAGTCACCAGATTTCACTGACACTCTCCGTGTGAAAGTAATAGTATCTCTCTGGAGTCATTTTCACACCGCTGTAATCTGACTCTGAATCTCAGGGGAAAATTGTCATTTTGACACTCCTCTACAAAAAGAGTGGATTACTCTGTAAACATACATCCGTGACATTTATTATTTTGGCTTTCTTCTTCATTCAGGTATTTCTTTCACCAGAAAAGATGCTAGAATGAAAGCGTTTAGCCAGGGACCCCTGTTGGAGTTGACGTGTGTGTGAGTGTGTGTGAAAGTTCAAAAGAGCAGCATTTATCTGAATGGAAATCTCTTGTGGACATGTTGTTGTTGTGTTTCAGCATGTCAGACTTGACCTACTCTCTGGTGGACGTCTCCAGCGACAGCTTCTGGGAGGTGCGTAGCATTCGTCTGCGCGTGTTTCTCTGCTAGCGCTGTGTTATTGTAACGCCTACCTTCCTACCTTACATTACACTATTCTGCTCACACTTCAAACTACTTTAAACTCTCTGCTCAGGCTTTCTCAAGCTAACATCACAGACAAACCTTTTAGTTATGTATTTTTTAATATATATTTCAAATCAATGTTTAAATCAATACCACATGATGATGTTTTAATGGTTAGGCCATAAACAGTTTATCAGTAGTGAAAGTGAAATGCTTCATTTCTAAAAGCTTCCAGAGAGTCAAAAACAGACCCAAGCCAGGTAATACATGCAAAATTAGAGCAGGACCAACATCCTGTGTATGTCATTTCCAACAAGCTCCGACACACCCGTCTGGAAGTTTCTAGTGAATCTGAAGACCTTGATTAACTGGCTAGGTGTGTTTGATTAGGGCTGGAGCTGAACTCTGCAGGAATATGGCCCTACAGGATCAGATTTGGCTAACATTCGTTTCCTGGTCCCATTGTGTCAGGTTCTCCTCCTCCAGGTAGTTTTGCTCACTTGAGGTTAGGTCATCCACAGCTGGTCCGTCTGGGAGTGTGTACAGCAGGGTATGAGCCTGCAAGACCGCCCACAATGAGAATATCACTGGGCCCAGGACAGAGCCCTGCAGTACTCCTGGGGAACTAGCATCTGTCCGTGTTGTTTTTGAAAAGTGCTTGTGACCCAGATATGTTCTTGAGTCTCAGATCAGTTTATTAGGAGTGAACAGGACAACATCTGGATGAAGCAGCACAAAGGCAGGCGTATCGTTAGATCTGAACATCTGAATAAAGGTCTTGTCTGTGTCGTCTCCTCTAGGGCCTCAGTACGGGACGGTGGAGCGAGCGTGGTTCGATCTGATGACCGAGGCCGAGAAGGTGAGTGACCTGCACATGGAGGTGAAGCCTGCACTGATGGGAGAGGACCTGGAGAAAGCCAAGAACTGGCAGAAGGACGCTTATCACAAACAGATGATTGGTGGCTTCAAGGAGACCAAAGAAGCAGAAGATGGCTTTCGCAAGGCACAGAAACCCTGGGCCAAGAAACTCAAGGAGGTACGAGCACAACAACTCCACACAGTCAGCAAACACGAGCTTAACACTGTCAGGAAGCGTGTGGTACAGTTAGCAAAAGCCTTCATTAAATATGGGTGTGTTCAGCTTATTTGCACAAGAGACTGTTTAGTACGTCACCCACAGAGCATACACTCGGTTTGTTGGATTGTGTTACATTTGAGAAAAACTAATTGTTCTTTTTTAATAATAAAAGGTATTATTCTACTTCTGATTCCTTAGTAAGAATGTTAAAACTTCTACCTCTGATTCTTCGAATATTTGAGTCTCTTTGGCTAAAATGTGTATGCAGATAAATAATAATCCTGAATAATAAATGACCATTACACCTGTCAGTGCAGTCATGATAACGAAGATGCGCGTGGTTATGCTTTTGAGGACTTTTTTTGCATTTTATCTGTTCTCTCAAGTGTGCGAGATTGGTGTGGCCCAGAAATCCATGCATGCATGCTCTTAGGGGCTGATATTACCCACAACCCCACTGGTGCTCTGTGATACAGTATGAGTGCATGTTGCTGTAGTATGTTTAGCTCACTGTAATGATCAGGTGTTCGAACAGTGGCAGCACTTTGAGGACAAGAGACTGCGCTTCTTCAGAGAGCAGCACCTCGACCTCTCCTCCAATCACAAGTGAGCACCTGACCGCTGTCATCATGTCATCTGCTTATCTATGCCTGTGCATAAGGCCGAAGGGCGGCTTGTCATCGTTTGCATAGAGACGCACAGGCGCAGACGCGCTGTTGTTGTTCAGAGACCAGCATGCATGAGTCCCTCCAGCTGTGATGGTCTGATAGTTGATATTCTCACACATGTGGCGGCATGTTAAACGTGTCTCTCCTTCAGGTACTCGACCGTCTATCACACACTGGGAAGATCTCCGGTGGTTCTGCTCCAACCACGGGCCCGCATTGACCATGAACTGGCCTCGGTTTGAGGTACGAGGCACACAGAGAG